GCTTTTACTATAGTCGACTTTTTAACTTATTCTTTACGACATAGTCGAAGGATTCAAAGACTGAAAGAAAAAAGTTTGGTTGTTTTATTTAAACTTTTATAGATGTAAACCCAATATACTGGCCCAGAGCCCCTGATAAAGATTCTCAAGTGTGCAAGCACAAAATTGGTTTAGGATTAAGGTTGTAGAATCTGCTTAGCAAAGATATAAGGACATCGAGAAAACGCTTAAATCCTTATAGTGAAAGGCTCAATATATATTTTTCTGAATATTTTTAAATTTGGGAGAGATGACTCAGTTCGAAAAATTCTAACATGCTCTTTTAATTCGACCGTTGTTTGATAAGAGCATGCCAGGAAATATGTATATTGGATAGTACTTCACTTCATATTTCATCAGTAAAAAAATGTAGAATAGAAAATAATCACTCCTTTTAACAATTAAATAGACATTATTTTCTTGAATTTTTTTATTAAACATCGTTTTTCCCTTATAACCTATTAACACTTCCACCAAACCCCACTAATATAATGAGTATTAACTTAAGCCACTGGGGCGACGGGCAAATGAGCTCCCTGTGGTTGGAAACCATTCTCATCGGCTATGTAGTTGACGGTGTAGGTCTGACCATCATCACCGACAAAGGAGAAGGAACCGTGAGCAACAATGTGTTCATCCTCAGCACCAGGGTTCACCAAGTGACCATCTTCTTGTTTGGATGTGCCATCGCTGGTCTTCAAGCTAGAATGAGAAGAGGAGAAAATGACTTTTTAATGACTGCACCATTGCTCAAGTATGAATGTTAATGTAATCCTTGTTGAAAGAGTAAAAGTCCTGCTTGACCAGGACTATGGCTTTAGATAGATTGGTAACTTACGAGTAGCTGTATTGCTCTGGTTCTACATCAGATTTCAATTCCACGATCTCCACTTCAGGCGCGGCTGGGGCAGCATAGGCCAAAGCGAGAAGTGCGACGAAGACAATCACGAATTTCATTTTGAAATTTTTTTTGTTTTTCTGTGCTGTGTGTGAAGACCACGGAATCAGACTAATGTATGTTGTAATCGATAGGCTGTTTTTGTGCTTTTATACTAAATTTTGTGACAATTTGTGTTTGCCGAATTCATAAAATATTTTAACCATCAAATGGATATTTATTAATTCTAAAACTTGATTCGTTTTGTGCTTTTGATGTTTATATGTTAATGAACCAGATGAACCGGCATACTTAATTTTTCTTGCTTTTGTAAAATAAAACTGTATATACAAATGTACATACATATGTACGTAGTTTTTAGTTTTGCAGAAATCACCTCCTTTTTTAAGTTGAGCTGATAAAATCTGAGGAAATATTCTGATTTTGAGCTGAGTGTGTTATAGTTAGAGGTAAATGTTGAGTAAATGGCAAGGCAAATTTCTTCATAATTTCCAAAGTCATTTTCTTTTTGCTAAAAGCGGCCAAGCATATAATGTCAAAGACTGCCATCAGGCTTTATACGGGACAGTTTGTGTAAAGGTGCTACGGACACAGTAATATTGCGTGCACTTTATTCAGATAGATTGACTCCATGAACCTAGACCCGCACATTGGGGGAGGAGTCGAAAGGCGTGAGGGGTGCTGGGTCGTTGAATGTGTACCCAGACGGATAAAGATGGAGAAAGGCGTAGGGGCGGCGGTCGTCTGCGCGGAGCTTGGTCTGAATTTCACTCTTTATTCCACGATTTTTTCGACCTTCGCACCATTCTATTTGAATTGAGGGTTTCGGTTACCAGAAAATGTATAGTGTTATCGATTGTTGTCGGTTATACGTATAGCAATGATTGTCGATAATGACATAATCGTGTACTTTATAGGTTTGTATTCTTAAGTTTAACTCAAAGCTTTTCAGCTATTTTAAACAGCAAATTTACACATATTTTTGTAGATAACGATGTGCACATATTTTTCTAAATGTTATCGTCAATAAGTTTATCGATATCGATTACATATTTTCATGAATTAATATGGCACTTTTTATCGGTAGTTATTGATAAATTTGTCAACATAAACATTAATATAATCGAATTGAGAATATATTTGTTTGCAACCAATAAATGTATCGAATTTCACATTTTGCAAGCGATCAATTTATCGAAATTGTTCCAAATACGTTATAGATATGAATATGCACACATTTTTTAGATTTTATCGTTAAGAATGACCTAACTGTTCATAGAATATTCATGGTTGTCGATAATTTTTTCGTTATCGATATTTGTATACTTAAATTTTGTGTATATTTGTTCATTGGCATTAAACTTGCCGAACATCTTTATAGTTCAATAAGTTTATAGGTATCGATTTCGCATTTTCATAAATGCTCAAAGATATTACACATCAATTTCTTCTTTCAAAAGTGCTCCACTCTCCTTCTACCAATATCCTTCCTTGCTTTGGAACAGAAAAAAAAAGCACTTACTTCACGCTTCGCTTTATCAGTGGCTAACGAACTAAAAACATTTTATTTAATTTAACAATTTAACCAAAAATTTACACAATTCAAATTAACTTAAGCAACTGGGGCAACGGGCAAGTGAGCGCCTTGTGGTCGGAAACCGTTCTCGTCAGCGGTATAGGTGACAGTGTATACTTCGCCAGTCTTCTCATCCTTCCACGAGAAGCTGCCCTGAACAACGATGGCTTCATGATCGGTACCGACATCCTTCAATTGACCAGCTTCGTCCTTCTTGGTGCCATCGCTGGTCTCCAAGCTGTAGGTGTAGCTCTCAGGTCCGACATCAGAGTCCAAACGGACGATTTCAGCCTCGGGATTGGGGCGAGCGACAACAACAGCCAAAAGGCAAGCGAAGATGATGACGGCGGCTTTCATGTTGTTTGTGTTATTTTTCCGTTGTCGTTAGAAACTTGAATGGATGTCAATGCAAATGTTGCACTCCTTTTTATAGTCCACCTCAGCGTAGAAATGTGCATTGTGATTTTGTGTATTTGTGGGCCATCACCTAATTATGAGCAAATACATACTTACATAGTTTCCAGTTTTTTTGCACACTTTTAATTAGGTACTTTTCTATTTCTTGTTCTAAATTTGCGAGCTTTATTTGGCGGCTTTTGATAAATCGAAATTTACCAAAAATATCTATTCGCATAAGTGCATACACGTGCTGTTGAAATGGAATAAAAGCGCAAGCGCAATTAAACTTTTTAGTTATGTAGAATTTCTGGTTTGCAGTTGAATGCATAAAGCAAAGAGGTGGTGTAGAATTTCTTTGATACGAATACACTCCGCGTCATTTGAATAGCGCAACATTTTTAATCGATAGCATTTACAGTTTTCCTTTTGTTTATTTAAAATTCATATATTTTTTTTAATATAGCATATTTTACGTGTAAATCCGCCTTTAAAGTCTTATACACATTAAGAAAAAAAGATGTCAACTGTGCGCTATCCTAACGACCTGCAATGAACCAGTTAATAATATTTGGATCATTCCATATAAAAGAAGAAAACGACATAAATTTAAATATACCCTAATCATCTCTATTTCAGTAGTTACCTCTTTTTAAATGACTACATTGCAGTAATCTGTTGAAAAATATTAAAAAAATTGTTATTTTTGTCTAAGGAAACTTTTATTTCATGCATAATTACTTTACACCAGTCACAAGGAGATGTCCCACCACCCTGTAAACCATTTTTTCAGAGTATTCTGAACTGTAGAGAATTTTCAAGGAATTTGTAAAAACCTCATCCGATTTTTTACCGAATTTCCTAAAATGAAATAAACTGTGCACACTTCGATTCCTTTACAAAATTTCGGAAGAAAATCGGTAAAGCAATAAAAATAATGCTGCTGTGTGAAGAATTTCTTGCAGAATTTTTTAAGAATCTAAATATCGTCACCTGAAATGCAAAAAGACGTAACTAACAAAAAGTTCAAAATTCACTTTTTGATTTATATGATGGATTTCATCAAATTACAATTCTCTATATCATTTTATGAAAAAATAAATAAAAGTATTAGTCATGACTTCTTCCATTTCAGTTGCGATGTTGTTGCGTCTCCAATTATTTAATAATCAATGCTCTCATATCCTGATGTGTAATAAGGTTTCACGTTTTTGAAAAGAGTTGCCACTCTTTAAAAAATTATGTTTAAATTATTCAAAAAAATATATCAATTATTACAAATCGGGTACCTATGAATGGTTGCCACCTGTTTAAAAATCAACTTCAATTTGAATTAAGGGAATTGGGTAAGAGAAATATGTATCACGATATGTGCTCCAAACAAAAGGGTCTTCAGCAGGTAGTAGTTTGAAAATATTTTTAATAAGGTTGCCATCTGCTTGAAATGTCGAATTTAGTCAACTTATGCACAAGTTATATGAAATATCACAATATGGATGTCAAGCGAATGAGTGTTAAGGAATCTTGGGTTTGAACACTAAAAATATTTTTGAGGTGTTGGAAGAGGGTTGCCACTTGTTTAAAAAATGAAATTCAAATTATTTACAAAGTTAAATTAATTATAAAAATATGGGTATCAACGGAAAGGGGTTGAAAAATCTTTATTTTTGAACTATATATAGCGGGGTTGCCACATGTTTAAAAAATCAAATACAACTTAATTCACCGGTTAATTAAAATATGTACCGCAGTGTCAGACAAAGGATATTTAAGAATGGCTTAGCACGAAGCTACTTTTGAAAAGGGTTGCCACCTGTTTATAAAGTCGGATTTAATTAACTTTTACGCATATTATTTGAAATATGAGCATTCGGGTGTTAAGCGAAGGAGTGATAAGAAAACTTTAGTTTAAAGATTTGGAATGGAGGGTTGCCACGTGATTATTAAGTAACATTCAAATTATTTAATAAGTTGGATGAATTATTAAAGGTGATACCCATCCTAAGTTTCAGAAGCCTTTATTTCTGAAACATATTTAGCAGGGTTGCCAACTGTTTAAAAAAAACAACTCAACTTAAATTATGGTTATGCGATTGCAAATATTTTCAAAATGGTTGGCACCTGTTTAAAATGTCGAATTTAGTTAAGGTATATGAAATATTAAAATATTGGTGTCAAACGAGTGTTATGAAATCGTTAGTTTGAACATTAGAAATATTTTTTAGGTATTTGAAGACCGTTGCCTCCTGCTGAAAAATTCAAATTATTAAAAAAGTTAAACGAATTATTAAAAGATGTATATCAATCGAAATGAGTTTGATAAGACTATCAGGCAGGTTCTGCAATTCATTTCTGAGTGGATTTCAGCCAAATTAGCTTCGAACTCAAACTGAGCTTTGTAGAAGTTAACTAGGAAGTGTTTCTGAATTATGGCAGGTCAAAATAAACCCTTTAGCCAGTAGATGTACGATAATATTTTATTTGTTGAAGTTAAAAACTTTTTATCAGTACAGGGTGATTTAAAATTTGATGATATTAAAAACAAGAAAATACGCAGCGCCGTCAACAAAAAACAAATGTCAAAAATTAATGGTATGTTGTAGCCACCTCAAACCTGCACTTTGATGCAGTAAAATTGCATGAACTACAAAACTGCATACCCGAAATTTTTCTAAAAATCTTTACAACTCATGCACTGCGGGTAATTAGGATATCGCACTCGTTTGTTGAAGTTTTTTTCTTTTAATTTGTTTAAAATTTTAAAAGGAAAAAGTGTAAATACTATAGATTTAAAGGGTGCGCTATTCATATGACGACGAGTATATATCGAAAGTGGACTGCCTTGCCTGTTGGTTAAATAAATGAAAGTACTTATCTAATGCAAGTCCTACGATTGAGTTTTCTTTTTTTTTGCTTATGATTAGGCACTTTTATGCACGTTTGTGTAATCGTGTGTGCACCAAGCTGGTTAAAACTCGTATGTAGTCAATCTAACGAAATTTTGAACATTAAAATTCAACTACTACTATTTTTTTAGCCATTTTCTAGTTCAAACTTGAGTAAGCATGTTGCTAATTAGAAGACGAGTTCTTCTCACAACCACTTTAGCTAATAATTTTTATTTTATTTTTTTTGATATCATGCATTAGGGCGGGTCAATTTGTATGGGAGATTTTTTCGACTATGCGCGTATAGCGCAAATGGATTCTACATGTAATTCTAAGCAAATTTTACGAACAAACCATGGGTATAAAATCAATTTGCAGTTTGCCAAATTGCGAAAATAGGTTTCTTAGCATTTCGTTTAGGTGTCGTAAATAAGTGCCTAAATTTTGTATAAAAAGTTTTATAAGTGGTTTTTTGATATGAGGAATCTATTTCTGCGCTAATAGTTTTTTTTTTGTTAAAACTTCCACTAGAGGGCGCAAGAGTGAAAATTTTCACGGTTTCATCGAAAACCGCAATTTTCGCAAACTCCAAATTGATTTAAGACCCATGGTTGCTTTGATAAATTTGCCTAGAATTACATTTAGAATCCTCTTATGCTATACATGCCGCATAGTCAAAAAAATTTGACCCGCCCTAACATACATACATATTTGAATATTAAGAATTCTATTGTTCAGAATATGTTTGCTGTTGCGTCTTGAGCATTTATTACCAGCTTAATTGCTATCAAGTTTTTGACATTGGTTTAGCTAATAAAAAGTTCTTCAATTCTTTTAAGCTCAATTTCGTCAGTTTTTGTTTTGAATTATTCATGAACTAAAGAAATAGAGACACTTTCATTTACTTGTTTGCCTTACTCAATACAACACTCGCACATACATATCTATGGTTTTAAAGCTGATATATATGTTGTTGTTTTTATTAATAATTGTTGTATTTATGTGTGTTTAAAAGCCTAGCTTAGGTAGAATAATTTAGTACTTATTTTAAAACGACCGGTTTGCTCTCCGATTCTTTTATACAAAAGTTAATACTTAGCCGGTTTAACAACAAAACGCGAAACAATGGCTCAGATTCACTTTCTTAATTTTGCACATTTCAGTTGCTAAGATGAAATGGGAAACTCGAAAAATAAACTGGTCTCAAGTGCATGTTGTTGTGTTTTTTTTTTTAACTTTAGTTTTGAAAGAAGTTTACTGCATTTTTTCTGAATAAATTCCAAATTCAAAATGATATTATGTTTATATATATTTTTTTAAGCATTTTCAGTTAAAAAAAGAGTTCATTTTCTAACAAAACCTATAGTTTAAAACTTTGTAAAACTACTATTTTTTTTTTTAAATTTCACTTTTATTTCAACATATTTTGATTAAAAGAAAAATACTGATAAAAATAAAATACTTCACACAAACAACAAAAAATGTAATCGATAATCGCATGAGGCTATTGCCTGAAAAAATTTAAGTATATATACTTGTTTACTTAATTTATTTAGTTAATTCCAATGGTTTGAAACGTACTAGGAATACAATCTCAACCAGAGTCGATATAGGAAACGCGACAGTTTGTGCGGCAAAGAAATTGAAAAGTATGTTGAAGAAAGTCGGACTAACAGGAAATATGTATATATGTATGTAGGTCCTGGGTTTTGCTCCTCTGAAAGAATTTTAAAATTCTATACAAATTTCTTATGTTCGAAATGCAACCGTGGACACTAGCTGGCAGGGAAACTTGCAAGTTCCTGCAAATTTATGTCAAGTTTCTCTATTTGAGAGAGAATTTGGGAGCACTTTCTCTTACTAACTGATATTTTGAGTGATAATTTTCGCTGGATATTCGACGAACGAACCTATTGTCTTCCCAGAGAGTTTAGCCTTGCATAGAAATTTGTGCTCTTTTACTTTCATTTTGACGCATTTCAGTGTTGATTCTTTTTTTAATTCAAGTTGGCCTTCGGTTTTGGGAATTTAAAATAAGTTCTCAGCAAAAAAAGTTAGTTTTAATAAATCCATATGTGTAAATCCATATGTGTTCCTTAAAACTTTAAGCGTGGGCAACAATGATTGATGTTTCGTAATTAAGGCAGAATGGAATATGCGCTATCTGGGAAGACAGTACCTGTAACATTTATTCTTGGCACTATATCCAAACGAAAATGCGTGTTAAAGCATAAACCGACAACAGCGTTAATCCGGATCAACTCGGGAATTAACTGCAGTTGATCCGGATTAAGTCCGATTTAGTCCGGATTAACGCTGCCGTCTGTTTAAGCTTTTAAGCAAACAGTGAAACAATTTCTTATTTTCTAAGTTTGCGAATAAAACTTCACACTCAAATATAAGTCATTCCTAACAAACATTTTATGAAGAAAATCCCCGTTACGGCCTACTTTAGAAAAATATATTCGTTTAAAATAAAAATAAGCGAAATCGGCCCAATTTTATATAACCCTGCCTTCGCGATAAGGCTAGTAGCCATTTCTAACAGATTTTGGATTGCTTAGTCAAAAATGGAAACATATATATTTGAATTTTAGGAAAACAAGGTAAATAGCAAAACCGGCTAAAAACGGCCTTTTTTGCATAACGGCTAACAAATCGGCTTCCGGCTAAACCGAGATTTCTCCGGCTGTTTGCTATCGCAACCAGCTAAATCTAGCCGGAAAACGGCTAAAATGGCCACACTGGTATTCGGATCTGGCGCAAAACAAGGCCATAAGCTAAGAGTTTCATCTGCACCAGCACTTATTGCCGTACTACCATCAGGCGACATTGCCATTTGCAGTACACGCGAAGTATGCCCAGTTAACTCAGCCTGTTTTACCATTGCAAGATACTTCCATATCGTTAACTGATTGTGTGCAAAACCATGAGCAGAAATCACGGCCCTTACTCTGTAGTTCTGTAGTTCCAGCCTTAATTTCTAAATTACTTCTTTAGTGTGAAATTTGCTTAGGTCGGCACTCACTGTAGTATCAAATAACACACAGAGAATTTTTCACAATATATGCAACAATTTTAATTTTTTTGGTCAATACTAAAATAAAAAATATGTAAAACTATCTATATATATAATACGCGAAGGGATTTTTTGCAAACAGGTCATCAGATCTACACTATTCGTTCGATCTGAGGTGTGAAATTCGTTCGAAAATGAGGTGCGAAATTGAACAAGTTTCGTTTTTTTGAAGATAGTTGCGACATGTTAAGAAATTACATTCAAACTATTTAATAATCAATGCTATCAGATTGATGAGGTGTCCAATTAAAAGGCTTGAGCTGTAAATGCGCAATAAGGTTCTACTTTTGCGAACAGAGTTGCCACATTTTAAAGATATAAACTCAAATTATTTAAGAATTTAAACCAATTATTACAAGTTTGTTACGAACTCGAAATAAAATTCAACTCGAATAAAGCAATCAGGTAATTGAAATGCGTAACAAAAAATGGGTGTCCAACAAAAAAGGTCTAAAAAGGGGTTAGTTTGAAAATAATTTGAAGAGGGTTGCCACCTGTTTTAAAAGTCGAATTTAAAAAAAAAATATACACATGTTATATGCAATTATAAAATATGGATACCAAACGAAAGCAACACTTTTAGTTTTAATATTCAGAATATTTTTTAGTTGTTTGAAGAGGTTTGCCACCTATTTAGAAAATTAAATATAAATAATTTGATAATTTAAGGGCCTTATTCTGTATCACGAACGATAGGCAAAACGAACGATTCGTCTGCAGACGACAACCTCTCTGATTGCGATTTTAAACTCTATCGGTCGTCTTCGTCTTGCTTTTCATACATTACGTTGCAATGGTCTCGGTTGTGTTTAAACCGACTAAAATAATGCCGCCGGACAAATTTTTGAAGCATTCCTCTGCAGGCGAATCGTTCGTGTTGCCTATCTTTCGTGATACAGAATAAGGCTGTAAATGAATTATTGAAGGAGGGGTATACACCGAAATGGGGTTGAGAACTGTTTGCTTGTTAAAAAAAGACCAATTCAACTTAATTAAGTTAGCATTTTTTAAGTGATGAACGGTGATTTGAAATTAGAAATGAAGCGAAAAACCAGCACCATGCGACCTTTTTCTTCTTCTTCTTTATTGGCGCTATAACCGCCTAAGCAATTTTGGCCGAGTTTAAAAGGGCACGCCAGTCCTTTCTCCTATGCGACATCTCTTCACTCAAATATTATGTACACGGATCGCTTATAACTTTGTCTAAAAATTTAATTATCTTTAAGGTTTTTGAAGAGGGTTGCCAGCTGTTTAAAAAGTTCAATTAAATTTTGGCGTTTGCAAGCTTTAACTAGCTAGGACTAACCACTAATTTGTGGCATTTGTTTTTGTTGAAGATGATTCGCATGTCTTTCATACAAAGTGTTTTGGAAATTGTTTTTATATGGAAGAAAATACGTGAAAAAATCTTAAAACTTGCACTTTATTATGCTAAAATTTAATGGGCTCCAAAACTGCGAACTAATAAAAATTCTAAAAAATCTGATTAAGTAGTTCAAAATTTGCATGAAAATTTATTAAAGTAAATGTATATTGTTTTCTTGTTGTAAATAGTGTGAGATATATTTTTGTCAAAAAATTTTGGAAAAAATATTTAAATAAAATTGTTTCATATACTGTGCCGTTAGTTTACATATTTACTACGACTGAGTATCGCACAAATGTAGAATTTTTTAACTTCCTTGCGAGCCGTATGAAAGCTACCAAAGAAGTCGGTGTAAGAGTTCCGTTATACATATGATACCATGGCTAAGATAGTTGAAAGCCTTTTGTAAGACAGCTGAAGGGCAGTCGGCAGTTACAACGGCCGAGTGAGCAAAGCACTGGAGTGCCAGTCGAGAGGTCCGAGGTTTTTTTTTAATTTACTAATATTTGTTTTCCAATTTAATTTTCTTTTAATTGTATATATTTTATTGTTTGATAAAGACAAATACACATATATACAAAATTTAAATTTAATTTAATTTTTAGAAACTTTTTTTTTTTATTTATTTTTTTTTCTGTTTAATTTTGTTTTAATTTTTAGAATTCATTTAATATTATTTTTTTCTTGTTTTAATTAAATTTTTAGATTTTACTGTTTTAAAAAGAAACATATTTTTTAATATCATTTAATTTTTAGAACCAATTTTTTTGTTAATTTTTCTTTTTATTAATTGGTTTTTTGTTTGTTTAATTTGAAGTTCTTTTAATTTTAAGTTTTAATTGTTTTAAAAGGAAAAATATATACGTATTTTTTAATTTAAGTTAATTTTTAGAAAACTAATTATTAAAAGACAAACAGAATAACGCTCAGACCTTTTCGTTAGCAGATCTTTCACCTTCTATTTCGAAAGACAGAAAAGAGATTTCAGGATAATTGCCTTTTGAAAGACTACGGTGAGTTGAAAGACGGTCGCCAGATTTGCCTAGTCTAGTGAAATCCAGTCCTTTTTGATCTTTTAAAAGTTCCTTTAAACATACATTGTAAACTACTAAGAGCCAAAAACAGCAACAACGCCAAAATTGAATAGCTGTACAAAAATATTTAAATATGCTTTAATATGCAAATTCTGTGACGTGTGCGACGGTAAGTAGCAAATGAAATTCCATGAAGCTGTCGTTGTCAACGAAAAGAAAAATGAAGAACAGAGAGATAGTAAAACAAAGAAAAAAATAATGCAATCATACAAAAATTACCTAATCTAACTGGAAATAACATTACGCGCGATACTAGCACTATAATTCTACACTTGTTTTTTTTTTTTTTTGGAAATTAATTTCTGGCCGCGAAAACCAGATTAAAATGAGGCCGCAGAAATAGATGCATTGGAAATAATATAAAATAGCACATGGAGTGAGCAAAAGTATCCACTATTTCAACAACTTCCATCGTAGCAACATAGCTAAACACCAAACAAACTAGTCATCATGAAAGCTGCCATCATCTTCGCCTGCCTTTTGGCTGTTGCCTTCGCTCGCCCCGAAGCCTCTATCGTCCGTCAGGATTCCGATGTGCAACCCGAAGGTTACAAATTCGATTTCGAAACCAGCGATGGAACCAAACACGCTTCAGATGGTCAGTTGAAGGACATTGGCTCAGACCACGAAGCTATTGTTGTGCGCGGCAGCTACTCGTGGGTGGATGAGAAGACTGGCGAAAAATTCACTCTCAACTATATTGCTGACGAGAATGGTTTCCAGCCACAAGGCGCTCACTTGCCCGTTGCCCCAGTTGCTTAAGTTGTTTTGGAGTCGTTGAAAAGAAGTTAATAGTTATTAGATGTTAGAGTTTTTTTTATTGAAAATAAATTAATTGCAATTTTGTAAAGTTAAAATGGTTGATTTGTATTTATTTATTATTTAATTGAGAACTTTTGTGTGTTCCTAAGGCGTCCTTTTTTGTTTGATGGCAACTCCGTGAGTTGGCCTATGAAGTGAAGAACCTATAAAAAAAATTGGGATTCTAACTCTTAGCCGAAATTTTGAGTGTCAATTCAAAAATTTCAGCATACAAAAAACATCATCTGAGTGGAAGATCGACTTATCTCGGAAGTTTTCGAATTGGCTGCCAAGATAGGTCGATCTTCCACTCAGGCATAGAAATACTCGTGATTCGGTACAAGTTTTTTCTAAATGGTTCGAAACACTGAACCAAACCACATGGATTTTTAGAGCGGTTTGCAACCCAGACAAATGTGTTGGCTCGGAAATATTTGAATTTCCTGGGACTCAATCTGTGGCCGAAAAAAAATTACATTCTATAAAATCCTAATCCTGTTAGTCCTATCATATAGCGCAGAAGCATCTACGATGACTAGATTGAAGAAGTCACATCTTCGAGCGGAAAGTGCCCCAGTAGTGGAAGTATGGATACTTGCCCGCTGGTGACGAGATAGTCTATTGCAGACGATGGAACGATGAGCAGAAAATGCAATTGCGGCTGTGCTGGCTAGATTGTGTTACGCGAATGGAAACAGAAGATCTGGTCCTGGAATTATTTGCAGCGGTGGCAGCAGACGAAGTGTAGGCCTCCACTGCGTGCGAAAGACCAGGTGGGGAAGGACTGGACTTTCGCATTAAAGAAGAAGAAATTTAGTAGCCCAGTAAGGATTTAAATTTATCTAACCAAGGTTAATTTTAGTTATGATGGCCGAAAGAACTCAATGTCTTAGTTGCAACACTGGTAGATGGCTTGCCACACCAAATATTTATTAGGTAAAAAAAAATAACAAAAAATAAGGAACTTGTTCACCACCTTTTGCTTGAAGACATCTTGGAATCCATTTGTCTTCGTTGCATTATAAAACTCAGAGCCACGAAGCTGCTTAAAGGCTGCTTTGACGTATGTTTTCCCGTCTCCACATACTTTTACCTTCTTTTGGCAAAGGTGCAGGAATGGTATTCTCAGGGATAGAAGTCGAGAGCTCTAGACTTATTTTAAGCTCAACTGGAAGATTTGTCGCCCTTTATTTTGTTTGCTAGAGTTTTTCAAATATTAAAAAAACGCGATTGTTTGACATTTTGACCTCGTTTTTCCCAAAATCTGGAGCTGATGGAAACTTTATACTTACGGATTCGTAATTAGAAAAAAAAAGTCTATCCAAAATAGCTTTAGCATTTCGACTAAACTTTGGCAAAACCTCGTATCTCAAAACACTGGCAAACAACACTATTTAACAAGAACCGTTCTATTAATAACAGAAAATCATTTTTAATAACTTTTTACTGGATATTAAAGATTAACTACTTTTTATTTAATTAAGAATAATATATAATGAATCGTAATATTTTAACGGAAGGTGCTCAACCATGTCCTCTAAGTTTTTAACTTAGTAACTTAGTGCCTTTACTTTAGTTCATTGATCTAAGTAAACAATAACTTTTCTGTTTATTGTCAAGAATCCATTGTCTTTCCTTATTCACCGCTACACTAACTTATTGCGCTTCTGTCAGCAAGCAGGAGAAAACCTTGTTGAGGTCGTTAGTTTAAAAGCCAGCAATATCACTACCTACAGTAGAGTTGCGAAGTTGAATTCATTTTAGTGATCAGAGATTCTAGTTCAAATCACTTAAAGGAAATAATTATTTTTAGTTCAATAGAGAAATGTTTAGTTATTTGCTTCATGATTTTGGTGTTGTGGGTAGAGGGTAAAGGGGCATGGCTCCCGGAAACCCCCACTCACTAGTAAGGAAAAATCATTCTTGTCTCTTTAACACTCTCATAAACTCTTCATACTCCATACTCATCTACAGATATGGTCGAGTTTTCGCAATTAAGTTTTCGCATAGTGGAAAATAACAAATTTTAACTAAATTTTTAGATAAAAAAACTATTAAATTAATTTAGAACTTCGAACTAGGTCACGCGTTCACTTCAAAGAACTGTAGAGTGCGTGAACGACCCCAGTATAACTTGCAGCATACTTCAGTAGCGTTCTCTCCGCGGTTAGTGCCTGAATCAAGATTTTCGCTACTTCGAAGGACATCAAAGTCATGATACTGGCGCAGAAATGTCGTACGGACACAAAGTTCTCACAGCTTACTATGAACCGCACTAAAGCATGAACTGATACTGGGGCCTAGTGCTTCAAACTGCCTTCGATGAAATACTATATGACTGCAGGAGGTTTCGAATTGGTTAAAAGTTTTAAATATACGGATATTTTTGCTGTTCTTTTGACAAGGAATCCATTCGCAAGAATCAAAAAAAATTACCTTTAATTAATTTAATTTTTTCATGATTCAATTATCGGATCTAAAGCAAATTCGTATGGGATAAAAAAAAGAACTATCGGTTCACGTGGTCCAAAGTTATGCGGTAATATACATATATATATAAAAATATTCCGACGAATTGATAACCCCCTCCTTTTTTAAAGACGGTTAAAAAAAATTAATTTTACTTTTGAGGTTGGTTTTGATCCAGGTAATTTTGCATCCAATTAGACCTTTAAATTGACCTTCAAAAGTAAAATGTTTGACTTTTTGACGCTTATCAATTTGATGATTTGTGTGGATCTCGAGACCAAACTTTGGTGTCGTTTGGGCCGCTTCTCTTTCTACTTACTATCGAAAGGATATAATTTAAAAATTTAATTTTCCAACAACGGCCAGTCCTGGAAAATACTATCAGTTTCTAGCGGTTGGAAGAATATTTCCAAGAAGTCCCAAAAAAATGTCTGCCTAAACTCTACAATCCATCCTGAAACCGTTGGTGTATGAGTGATGTTGAAGTGAATTTGACTTCTGTTTAAACGTCAAGGAGAAAGTGTTGGCCATTAGCCACAAAGCACAGCTACCCATCACGTTCCGTGTAATGAAAAATAATAGAGAATCGAGAACGGAAGGACTGTTTGGGTAATCGTGATAATATACGATCGCTTTAAAGTTAGTAGTCGGTGTTAAAAGATTTAAGTTTTAGCGAGCTCTCACAACCACTTATAAACACCCATATACTATATTCTATGTAAATATACACATATAGTAAATATAAGCACGGTAAGAACTTGATTAAATAGTAACTATGAATATTTATAGTTTTTGTGCGTAATTGAAATTGATTTAAATTAAACTGGAACTATAAGTAGTTCTTTATTGATTAAATTGATTGAAATTAAGGTAGGAAGTATTTTTTAAAAATTAGCAAAAATTTTGAAGCTCTTCTGATAGTATAAAAAAGCGCAGGCATTAGAATGAATTATGCACAGAGCTGGCATCGTGCATCGCAAAAGCACACACGCGAACAGAACGACGGAAAGCACAAAGGAAAGACAATGAAATTGCTTGTCGTATTCGTTTGCTTGCTGGCTTTAGCTTTTGGTCAAGTAAACTTTCATGCGAAATCCGTTCAATTCGAGTCCAAAACAAAGAGGAGTGATTATGGCGCTAAGGGTGACGGATATGCCGCTGGGGAACATTGGTTACTACCCCCACTTGTGGACGATGAAGCGGTGGTTTATTGAATAGGAAAAATAAGTATGTAATACAATTTGTTTGTATAGTGTCTATTAAGAAAGTAGAAATAAGAGTAGTTATATAAAGTAATGTATCTAGTTTTATGAAGGATGGTTAATATATTTTGCGTCTAATAAGGAATCTATGTATTTTTAGCAAGGAATGAAACCGAATCAAAATAACGTTGCGATTTCGGTTTTTGTTTCGTTCTTCGAATTTAGTTTCGGTTTCGGTTTTGAAACAAAAATACGAAAACAAGTTTGACCAAAAGATTACACGGTTCAACAAAATTTGGTCGTATTTTATCTCAAAAACGGGATCGACCTCGTCTTATAGTTTGTTCGATGTTGATTTGAAGTGCCCTTACACAGTCCAGTTTTAGAGAAAAAAACTGTTGAAGTGTCAAAAAACGGCAATTTAATGAAAATCCAACGCGTTTGATGGATTCTATCTCATGTCGATGGAATGAGCAGAAAGGAGTGAAAAAAAATATATATAAAAAAAACACTACCGAAGAACATGGCGAACGATTCCATCAGCACATAGCCACTATGAAGAAGCAGGGACCGTAATAGTTACAACTTTTATTTAAAAAATCTCTCTTTAACAATTACTTTTTGACTTGTATTTAATTACTCATTAAATAACCGTTATTTCTGACTTTTGTTTTATAAATCCAAAATAACACTTATTTTTGATTTTTATCTAATTAATATGCAATAATAGTTATTTTTGATTTTTAAAATAAATGTCTTAGATAACAGTTATCAAAGACTTTTATTTATAAAAGTCATGAATAAAAATCAATCACTGACCTTTATTTTTTAAATCATACTTATAAAAGTCATTTGAATAAGTCGTAGCAGGGACCTTAACAGTTATTTAAAAAAAAGATCCCTTTTTATTTATTTTTGTTTTTTAACAATTAGTCATAGTTACAACTTTTATTTAAAAAATCACTCTTTAACAATTACTTTCTGACTTGTATTTAATTACTCCTTAAATAACCGTTATTTCTGACTTTTATTATATAAATCCAAAATAACACTTATTTTTGATTTTTACCTGAATTATCTGCAATCCTTCTTAACTGCGAAAACTGTTAATGACTTTTATACGAATGATTTAAAAAATAAAAGTCGGTGACTGGTTTTATTGATGACTTTTATAAATAACAGTCTTCAATAACTGTTATCTAAGACATATAATATAAAAATCAAAAATAATTGTTATTTTGCATTTATAATAAAATAGTCAAAAGTAATTGTTATTTTGTTTTTTAATTTTGCATAAAAATTGCAAATAAAAATATGTTTTTAAAATTTGAGTCTCGGTGAAAAAAGAAATCGATTGATATGTATCACTACTTAGTTGTAGAACATTTCCTTCATAGTGAATTTTTCGATGACAGTTTTCATCAATATCTGTTATGTTCGGTCCGTGTTGAGAAGCGGTATGATGGAAACCAAACCTCGATACGCTTGCTGACTATTGCTGAACTTTGTAAAACGATGATAATGCGATCCCCAAAAGGAAATGTTTTGAGGAAAGTGTTAAGAGACAAAAGACTAAAGACAAAAAGAGAATAGTTCATGAAATCACTTTGTTTTTAAAATAAATTCATAGGTTTAGATTTTCGTATTTGTGGGAAAACAATTGCATGCTATTAAAGAACTGAGTTTTTTTTTAAGTTTTTCAGTAATTTATAATCAACACATCGACATGAGATAGAATTCATTAGACGAATTGGATTTTCATTAATGCGGAAAAACTACGTCCAAATTCTATTTTCAATTTTGTTCAGAGCACTCTGCAGTAGATTCTTCTTTAACTAGGAAGTCAATGTCATATACGCAGTCCTGAAAATCAAAGCCACATCCGCCAAGTAGGCAAAACATTTTACCCACCAATATGAGCCCTAACAGTGGTGAGATAATTCTGGTCTGTGGTATCCTTTGAGAATCTGACTTTGTCCCATCCTAGCGGATAAGTTATGGACATAGATTTAAGAATACTTGCAGTCTAGCGACATGTTATGCCTCCTGCTCCTTTTTTCGCGAAATAAGTTCTTAATGTTCTATGTACAGTTACTCAATATTAATAATGTTTTTCAAGTAAATTTTTCTCTATAAAATTGCAAACCCAAAAATGTTCTAAGGATTCAGATTAAAAATTTTGATAAAAATTTGTTGAATTTTCTTACATATTGTAAATTTTTATTTATATGGTTTCGAATTGGACAATATTTTTATAGAAAAATATTAAAGAAATTTAGCTTAAAAACCATTGTGAATATTAAAAAGGAACAGTCCAGCGCCTTCGTCTTGGTCTGCAGGCTGTATCGGAGATACAGCCGCTATATTTAAACGTAGAATACGTGGTATGGTTAAGAGCATATCCAAGTCAAAAACGAAATCACACACTAAGAATAGAAACAGATCCACATTAACTGCAATCAACATATGTACGTATGTATGTATTTACATATGTACACACGCTGCGATTAGGTTATAAATAGCGCGCCTCTGTTTATCAAAAGCCGCATTACATACGCATACATACTTTTTGTCTCCTTCCCACACTTCCAACATATGCACGTGTTTGCAAAATGATGACGAGGTGATTTTGTATGGAAAATCATTTATGCCCATATATTTGAATAAAATAAACATATATAGAAGATATCATTCGAGCGGTTTTCGAGCATTTTGGTAATGAAAAAAATTTGCAAATTTTTTCAACAATTTTTTGCCTTAAAATGCTCAATATTTGTTAAATTTATATAAAATTTGTACCCGATAAAATTTCTACTGCTTCAAAGAACCTGTATCCCGAAAATGAAAGTTATATATGCCAACAATAAGTTGCTAGAGCAGTTTAAAGGCTCAAAATTGACCCCAAAATAAGGCAATGTTTACCGTTGTTTTTACGACAGAAACCGAATTGGTTATTTACAAAAATGAATCTGTCGACAGGTTTGGAATTTTATCTTTGAAACGCCACACTTTTCTTTGAAATCGCTTTATTAGTTCTCGTGCAATAAGCGTTTTTGTGAAGCTCTAAAAATTACAACTACAACATTTGAACATAGCCCCCATACCTTAAGGTAAGACGTATTCAACGTCAAAAAAAAAATTTACACGTGGTCACTTGTTTGAGTTACAGTATATCCAAGAGATAAGCCGTGACATACTCGTACTGTTTGTTCATAACAGCTTTCGCATTTCTTTATAAAATTTTCTTTGATATTTCGAGATTTGAAATCCGAGATGGCCCAGTTTTTTTTTAAATATCCCTAACAGTATTCGGTGAAGTCTGCATGTGATTATTAAGAGTGTTGCTAGGTCGAATGCAGTAAATTTTTGTTTAGTTAGGTTCTCGGTTCGCTTGAACGGAAATTGAGTAAATGCACAATAGACAGCCACCAACTGCATAATAAAAAAAGAGCAATAAAGAATATATTGTTAAATATGCATATCTGCTCGACAAGTCTTTTAATTTATACACCAAACATTTTTATCACACATTTTTAAATAATAAAAATTTGCATAAAAGTAACCAAAGAAAACGGTAAATAAAATTATATGCGCTCGTTTTCAATGAACCAAGCAATTTAGGAATACTTGAAAAGAAATTATAACAAAATTTATGCCTTCGCCGCCCTAACTGAACTGGAAATGTGAGCAGGATTTGTGGTGGCTAGCATGCTGCTCCTAAAAACGCGCACCAGCTTATGCAATCGTATCAGCGCAATCTGCTAGGCGTAACAGGTTAATGATTAGAACCAGATTTAAATATGGTTTAAGTGGAAGAATTTCATTTTGGTTCATTTTATGATTGGAGAAATGCTGGCATTGCGAATGATATAAAATGTCAGCGTAAGCTAAGAAAGTTATCCACTAAGTTGACAACGTTTATCGCAGCAGCAACATAGCCGAACACCTAAACCTAAACGCCTAAACATGAAAGCCGTCATCATTTTCGCTTGCCTTTTGGCCGTTGCCTTCGCTCGTCCCGCCGCCGATACCCAAATCGTCAAATCCGACTCTGATGTCGGACCTGAAAGCTACACCTACAGCTTGGAGACCAGCGATGGCACCAAAAAGGACGAAGCCGGTCAATTGAAGGACATTGGCTCAGACCACGAAGGCATCGTTGTTCAGGGTAGCTACACGTGGAAGGATGAGAAGACTGGCGAAGTATTCACTGTCACCTATACCGCTGACGAGAACGGTTTCCAACCACATGGCGCTCACTTGCCCGTTGCCCCAGTTGCATAAACTACTTATGTAGTTTGATTGAATGATGCGAAGTTAAAGGTTTCTAATACATAAATACATATAAGAGTTTTTTTTAATGAAAATAAATTAAATGCAATTTTTTAAAATTGGTGTTTATTTTTTGTTATTCTTCGAAAACTTGTGCGGTTTTAAGCAGCTGTCATATGGTATACATATTTAAAGCTCGTATCTTTTTTCGCACAAAAAACTGTATATTATAGCGAAAAAAATCGTTTTCACAGTAAGGTGGCGCAAAAGTAACCTTGCGATGTTTTTTGGCTGTAATTAAAAAAAAAAATGAAAAACTTTGATTCTTCTTGTGGATTATTTTTATTTGGTCTTTTAATTTTTTTTACATCAAGTCGAGAATATGATGTCATGTAAATGGCCGCCGCCACAGTTGATTGCCATTTGAGCCCTTTTTATGGCATTTTCCATCACTTTGGCCAAAACTTCCGGCGATAGGTCCTCACATTCATGACGGATATTGTCTTTAAGAGCTGCAAGAGTCTGAGGCTTGTTGACATAAACCCGCGACTTCAAAAAGCCCCACAAAAAGAAGTCTGGAGCGGTCAAATCAGGCGATCTTGCTGGCCAGTGCAAATCGCCAAAACGGGAGATTAGGCGCCCGGGAAATGCATCCTTCAGCATATCGGTTGTGGCACGTGCAGTGTGTGCCGTTGCACCGTCCTGTTGGAACCACATGTTTTCCAATCCCAATTCATCAAGTTGCGGCAAAAAGAACTCGTTGATCATTGCTCTGTAGCGCTCACCATTCACAGTAACCGTTTGGCCCGCGACGTCTTCGAAGAAAAAAGGTCCGATGACTCCTCCAGCGAAAACAGCACACCATACAGTGACTTTGAGCGGGTGTAATGGCTCTTCGTGGGTTACACCCGGATTTTCAGTGCCCCAGAAATGGGCCTCATCACTCATGATTATTTTTGATGAAAAATCATCTTCCTCTTGGTGGTGATTAAGGATGGCTTGAGCGTATGTTAGACGCGATTGGCGGTCAGCAGCTAACAGCTGATGCACCGTCTGGACTTTGTACGGAAACATCTTCAAATCTTGTACCAAAATTCGCTGTAAAGACCGTCGACTGATACCCATTTGCGTGGCACGTCGTCTGGTCGATGTCGACGGCGCTTCCATGACATCCTCGGCTACAGCAGCAATATTCTCTGCAGAACGGCTACTCCGGGGTCTGCCACGCCTGACAGCATCTCGTGTTGTGCCAGTCTCTTCGAGGCGAGCGGCTAAACGTTGCAGTGTTTCACAAGTAGGCGTTGGACGGCGAGGAAATCTGCGACGAAATTCACGTTGTGCCAAAGTCACCGACCGATTATTGGTCAAATAAATAGTCAGCAATATTCCGCGTTCTGGAGCAGTGTAGCGTAACATTGTTTATTAACGTGTATTTCGCATGTGTTTACTACACAAATGTCAAAACAGAACTGACATTAGGGGCCAATCGCAAAATTTATAGCATTTTCTGATAGGAGGATTACTTTTGCGCTCTCTGAGTTTTGGTCAGTGTTATCATCGAAAACTTCCTTGATCCGAGTTAAGTTTGGGCATTAACTTGAGGACTTAATTCGCATCAACTGCAGTTAATTCCCGAGATAATTGCGAATTAACGAGTTGTTCTGGATCAACACTGCCGTCCTTTTATGCTTTAAGCGGGGAGTATCCCAAGGATACGAATGGAAATGTAACCTACCTACCGACATGTAGTTCGACCTGCTGACCCCGAATTTGAGGTCCACTCGCACCCGAAATTATGCCGTTGCCCTGGCATACAAAAAAAAGTGGTTTGTGCATTTCGACTCACTGAATCTAAATCTAAGGACCGTTTGACTCGTACACCTCCAAAATTTCGATTGTATTGCGAAAATAGCGAATTTTTTGCCATTTTTATTTTCGTTTTTTCGTAATTTACTCGAATGCTTGAGGGTGTACGGGTCAAACGGACCTTTAGATTCGGATTCAGCGGATCGAAATCAGTTTTGGTACATGCAGGAAAAATTCCCTACTCATTGGGTTTTTATTAGAAAAAAAAACTAGTGTAGGGAAAAGAAGGACAGAAGCGTTTTTCAAAAAATCGAAATTTTTGTGTAAACAATTTTTTTTTCGCTCAAAATGCAAATAAGTTCGCATGGAAACTTTTTATCAAGAATATGTTGCAATGGCAGCCTGAATGAATGAATGAATGGCAGCGTTAAATCCGAAAAAGTGTTCGAATGACAGCATATAACCACCATCATGGCTTCATGGTTTTCTATTTGTTTTCAAACTGACGTCGACAGCTAATTTTTACACAAATTGGCGCGTGTTAATTTTGTACTTTTTTTTTTATAAATTTTGGCAAACTTGCGGCATTGTACCGATTTTTGTGTGGCCTCAGTAGCTATTTGGCCGTTCACTTGATGAAGCTAAATATTAAAGTAAAACAAAATTTATTGTTTTCTTATTTTATTTATGTATGTGTATGTGGCCCTTTAGAATAACGACACATTGCAAAACAAAAGAACCCTTAATCATGTAATCCTAACCAAAGTAAGAAGTAAGGATTACTAGTTTAAGTAACAAGGATTATGCATGGATTAGCCAAAGATTAGAGCCACGAACCCCTAACAGGATTAAGGTTTTTTATTGTTTTGAGTTGTGCCGTTATTGCATATGCCCATCGATATCTACTTATACAACGCAGTAGTGTACCTATTACATTTTTTTATGTATTATATTTGTTATTATAAAAAATTTTCTAAACATTGCACCTTCCGTGTTTTATATAGTCAAACTTTTTCACGGGTGTCATCACAGAAAAAAAAATTTGCCACTGATACCAGGCGCCAAAATTGCATCTGCTAACTTTTATCGCAGGTAAATTCGCATTTTTCTTAGCTTACAAAATAAAGAACTTATTTATTTAGACAGGTTGACATTGTGAAAAATTTATGGTTTGTTGTTCGTGCCATGCAATCTGTTGACAGTTTTTTTTTTTAGTACAGTAGAAATTTTGGAGGGAACAAGTTTTGAAGCTAAAAAAAATGTTTTAATTTTTTTTTTAATTGAGCTTCAAATCAATTAGCAAGTAATTTAAGATTTATTTTACAAGTGAGTGCAAATAAACAAAAACAATTTTTCAGCAGTTTCAGTGTGATTCCAGCAATAAATTAAAACACATATACATACAAAGAGAAAAATATATATATACATAGTTATGTAGGTATGTAATAGCATCCTTTATTAGACCATGCGCTGGTGTGTGTGTGTTAAAAACAAATTCAGTAGCTGGTAAACTTAGTATAAATAGGCGTCAAACATTTTTAATTGCATTCATAAAGTTCTCAACTTTCACAAAGTTTGAAGGGTATTCGTTCGTGCAACTGCATAATGAAGTTCCTAATTGTATTCCTCGCCATCTTTGCATTGGCCCATGCTCGTCCCGATGTGGAGATTATAAAATCAGAATCGGATGTGCAACCTGACCATTATACTTTTGAGTAAGTAAATTGTATGCCGAGTGGCCATATATCGATGGTTCTCTGCAATAAGGACACAACTCAAAATTCAAAAAAAAAACCCTCACTACTATTAAGTGTCTCATGTCTCTAAAAATTGTCGAATCCATATCTTATTCTCACTAAAGTAAGTAGTAAAGGTTACTTAAGTAAGTAGTAAGGATAAGATTTGAATTATATAAGGATTAGAGACATTGGACACTTAACAGTGGCAAAGGGGTTTTTTTTAGAATTTTGAGTTGTGTCGTTATTGCAGAGGACCATCGGTATGTACATAAATATACAGCCACAGTTTTTTGCTTACTTTGTATTACTAATTTCAAATTATTATTTTTGTGAATCCTTGCAGTTTGGAGACCAGCGATGGCACCAGCCGTCACGAAGAAGGTGTTATCAAGGATGCTGATACCGATCATCCAGCCATTGTGGTGCACGGTAGCTTCTCGTGGAAGGATGAACACGATGGCAAACAATATTCGGTTAGCTTTGTAGCGGACGAAAATGGTTACCAACCCACCGGTGAGCATCTGCCGAAGCTGCCTGCAATCGAGCATTAGACTCCCGCCTTACTAAGTAAAGTTGTTCTCGTATTTCGTTTCCACACTAATACTAATTTAAATAAATCATCAATTGACAGCATCGCAAAGTGCAATAAATGCAAATTTATGTGGAGTTTTTATTTCGCCTTTGGATTTATCAGTTCGTGTTAAATAGTTTGTGGCTATTAGTTAGCAAAATTCAAGTGAAACTTCTCACGACTTCCAGAAACGAAAGACTTTTTAAATTTCCGAGGTAGTTTTACAAAAATGCTTGCCAGATTTTAAAGCCAATTACTGCCAAAAGCTTTACATCGTTTTATTTACAGCTGGCATAGCTGCCCATTGGTACACTTCTATGATATCTAGGTCCAAATATGCTTCCTCTAGTACTTTTATCATCAGGTTTGGATCTATCAGTGCACCTGACTTGAGATCCTTCGCTGATCTTGCATAGCACTTTAGATGGCTTATGATATCTCAACCTTGCATGCTGCTTCTACGGCGTCACAGTCTGGTGGACATCAGTGGATAAGTCACTCACTAATTCTAAACTTACCAAGTTTCAAAGAGCGGCATGCATGCTAATCACAGTTGCGCTGCCATCGACACCCATCAAAGCCATGAAAACACTCCTAAACTTTCAGCCCGCAGACCTTTTTGGGAAGCTATAGATTCGGTAACACCAAAATTCTACCCAACTACCCCGATACGTTTAGGCCCAGATTATGCACCACTGGTGTTGTTCGAGAACAAGTTCCCCACTCATGTCCCTTCGAGGAAGGAGGCCTGGGGCCTGCAAGATAACTTCACAGTCATCTAAACGGATACCTCTAAACTAAATGCGATAGAATATATGAAAGTCCTTAACGATTTTTCCCTGACGTGGGTCTGTTAGTGTGTTCACGTCTGTTGAACCCCACCAGAAACTGCTTATATAGCATTTTATTGTGCTCCCTTACGGTAGGGCATTTATACCACTTATAAAATTCGCCGACCACCGTTTGAGTCGCTATGGGAGAGAGGAAGCCTCAATGTCTTCTAGTAGCGTGGAATGACAGACGGTGTCAAAGGCCTTTGACAAGTCCAACGCTACTAGGACTGATCGCTCCAAGGGACGGTTGCGTATTAGGTCATGAGTTATCTGGGTGTTTATGGCGTTAAGTGTAGTGGTTGTACTCTGCAGTTTATGCAAACCATGCTGATACTTCGCTGGGTCCAGGTGGTGGGTGGAATACGGAAGTAGCAGGGCCTCAAGTATTTTCGCGACCGGGGAAAGGAGCGATATGAGTCTGCTTTGTTGGCGAGTTTCCCCGATTTCCGCAGTGAAGAAAATTGCTGTGATGTGCAAAAATTTATGATGGGTATACTTGAGAGATCTGTCCAGTTTTTGGACAAAAAGAGACGTGTATTTCCGTCTAGCGCCTAGCTTGGGTGATGAGAAAACTGAACGTCGTCTTTTAGGATTTCAATTTCTTTTCGAAAAATATGTAGCTATAGAGAAGTACTGAATTGTAAAATATTTTACGTGTCGCCAAATGGCAAGGTTCACCATTTCGTTGTATCTCGGATCGGCATTCAGAGTAGATCGAAACATAAGGCACTTTTTTGTATACGTTACAAGACCAAGTCTTTGGTATATGCCGCACAATATGATTTATTTCGAATCATTTAATTGTTAAAAAATTTTAAATTCTGCACAACCGACGACAGTTGCACGCTTCGGACTTATTTCAGAGTATCCTTCTTAGTAGCTACGGCATACGCTTTCATGTTCCATATATTATGAAACACACTGTCAATTCGATTTTTTTTGTTTGTATTTTTCATACTGATGCATTTATTTTCTACTATTACACTTTAAATACACAAATTAAAAAAGAACAACTCTTTGATTCCCCTAACTAATACAATCGCAAATTCAACACTATCCCTTATTTACTTGAGTTATAATCAGTTCTGGTACATAGTCCTTTGCAAGTGGCGGTTTAGTAAATCTCTTCTTAAACTCTTTAGTGAATACCCACATTGGGCAAATGAGCACCTTCGGGTTGGAAACCATTCTCGTCGGCAATATAATTCACAGTGTAGGTTTGTCCATCATCAGCGACGAAAGAAAATGAGCCACGCACAACGATTGTCTCATCCTCGGCACCAATATTTTTCAATTGGCCTTCCTCATTGTGCGTCTTGCCATCGCTGGTTTCCAAACTGCAAAAAAAAACAAAGTTTCAAGTTCAATACAAGGCTGCCATGTGGGTCGCCGCTGTCACACACTTACGCAAATGAGTATCCATCAGGCTTTACATCGGAATCCAAACGCAGAATTTGCGCTTGTGATGGATCATCGATGGGCGCAGCGACAACAATGGCGAATAACGCGGCGAATACAACAATAATGGCGATTTTCATTTTTGACAAGAATTTTTCGCAAATTCCGATTAATAGGATATCTTTTTATAATAATTTTATGACTACGCACTGCACTGTACGAACGAACACGCGCTTGTTGGCTAAGTTGTTGACTTATGATTGCTTACCATGTGGGCAACACCAATTTATAGTACTTCGACGACTAGGCCAAAACAATAATAGAATTATACGATGATAGACTGTTATCCAAGTAAAAAAAAAACTAACAAAAACTAAACAAAACAAAAAATAATAATAATAAACAAAAAATAGCACACAATAACTCATGTAATGGTGTTTGTTGTTAGATAAATAAAGAAAATAATAACTAGTAAATAATAATTACCTGAGTCCGAAAACTATTTAAGCTGACAAGTTTAATATTTTTTTTTTAAATAATTAATAAATTCATCAGCTAAGACGAACGCGCATTAAATAAGTAAAAACACAAGCAAATTTCAAAAAAAAGGTAAACAAATTCTGAACAAATTTTTTTTTTTTAATATTATATGCAACGCAGCTTTGTTTTCATTCATCTATGCATACATACATACGTACGTAAGAGTAAATGTAAATAAATTGTGTAGGTTCGGTTTGCATTTTGCATTTAGTAAACATTTTTAGAGTTTTATTGCGATTTTTAGAATCAACACATTTTGTTTTTTTTTGGTTTGTTTATGCGAAGCAAAATGTGTTGTCCGTTTAGCTTTTGGCATGACATGACATGTTAGGAAAGAGTAATAGAACTAATCTTACGAATAAACTGTGGTAATAAAGATTTAATTATATCCAGGGATTGTCAAGAGGTTGCTGGCCGTAGTGGTGGAGTGGTATTGAGACAATTACTGAGACATTAAAACTACGGAAGATAGTTGTTAAATATCTTAGGATATCATCACTGATATGAAAAGGTAATGCCAAATGGAACAACAACAGCAAGAAAATGCTGGAAGCACGGACAAAAACCTACGTGACCCGACGAATCGTCCGGTTTCGATAATTACATTCGAACTGACTCCACTAAGGTTTTAATTAGGGCTTCTGGCGCACCGATTAGGTACTTGTGAGCTATAAATAAGGCATTCTGTAACTTAATCAAATGACCTGAAACAGCTCCAAAAAAGCTGGTGGTTAATATCTCATTTTTTGTCGTCCTAGTAAAGCCGTGGCTGGCTTTTAGTTAGGTAGGTGGAAGTGGCTGCCAGGCACAGAGGACACCAGCACACTAAGGCCCGATCAGGTACCATTGTGATACCACATGGATCCAAAACCCCTACTCCTGAAACAAATTCGTGGAGTCTACGAACTTAGCAGTTGCGCTTAGATTGTCTAGAAAACCGTTTCCTACCTAGTGTTGGGCAATCGCAGAGTAAGTGCCTTATTGATTCAGGCTCTTCTTCGCCGTGGCAGCTCCTGCAGTAGTCGTTGTGACCAACCCCGAGGCGTTCTGCGTGCCTTCCTATCAGGATATGTCCTGTGAGCAAGCCAATGGCCAGTGACATATCGCCTTTATTGAGGGTGAGAATTTCTCCGATGTCCGTACATCTCATTTTGGCCATGTAAGCTTCATTGTATTACAGTTTTCAGTGCACTGCCATCTGGAGGCCGCTTCCTCAAGGAAGTTCTCCCTTAGTAAGAGCTTGCAGGAAGCGAGTGGCATACCCATCCTTTACAGTGTGGTGAAAGTGGAAACCTCACGCACCTTTTCAAAAATAGTCCAGGAATGTGAGTTGAGGCTGAACCCCATTGCAAGGTGGAATTAGCTTGAACTTATTGAACCATGGCCATGCATAGCGGGAACAATTGGGTTCATCAAGGATTTCATCAATAAATCTCATGAGAGCTGTTGATATAGTATTGACACCTGCAAAACATCCGAGACAGAGAAGATGTGATCTACGAGCGCTGATAGGACCGATTATAGAGCAAAATCCATTGGGACGGCATATGGTCACCATAGGCATCATCGAGGATTCACTACGTACATCTTGTTTGGAAGATGAGTACAGTACAGCACATTTTCTTTGCCGTTGTCCAGCCTTCGCCAGACGTAGATGTTATATTTTTGGTTCATATGTTTTAATAATGGACGATCTACGAACTCTTTCTCTCAATAAACTGCTAAGGTTCATAAAAGACTCTGGTAAGTTTGCAGAGGAGAAATGAATTCCTACCGCACCTATATACATATATGCATAACCTCCAAATCCACGCTATAGCTCTTAAGTACAATAGGCAATATTGCCTGAGAGTTTTGAAAAAATTGTTTTTGGATTATACGGCACCCACAAATCCAATCCATTCCAAGGTCGCTGTATGCTAAAGTTCCAGAGCCTGATTTTGTTAAAATTCTCACGCAGTTTCGATACTTTTTAATGGTTAATTTAGCGTGCACAATACTGGAACGCAAATTTGAAATTTCTGAATGTTCCCCCAAAACTCAGCAAGTTAAAGCCTGGTTTAAACAAACAGCGGTTTATGTTCCTCGCTATCTATTCGCAGAATTAATTAGTCGAGTAAAGCAGACCGATCGATGAACTGCTGGAGTTTTTTTTATGCACGGAACTACGTTCACTTTGAAATTAAATGGATGACGTTGTTAAGAAAAGCGGCTTATAATGAATCTATCAATGATGTAAAGGAGATGAGAAGCAGAGCTTTGCAGCTGTTGAGAAAAGAACGGGAAACTCAAAGCCTCCTTTGAAAAGCCAAGGAAGTGCTCTAGTATCATATGGAAAGGACTGCCCATTGATAACTTCGCTTATAACCCTTATACGGGAATTGGAATACGGTAGAAGAAAAAAAAATTCCACAAGCGCAGCCAAGACCATTTTAATCTCGAAAGCGGTACCCATACTACCGCTTTACTAACTAATGAAGCTCAGATACGTTCACATATCTCTCAGAACGGGAGCAGTAAGGAAAACGGCTGTAACTAGGATTTGATGAGTCATTTGTAACGTCTAATAAGACTTTCGTCATAGAAAATGGAAGCTGAACACTGCTAACGGTGAAGAAATAATGTATCCAGATCGATGTAAGACTAGCGAGTCCCTTAACGGTAATTGTTTTCCTGCTCGGCAGCCCCGAAGGTGACATCGAGAATTTGACCCTTAGGAATTCCTACGGTAATGTCGGGTAGGCAAATCTGAGAATACGTTCTCTCTCAGAATTCTTTGCTGCAGTGTATAAAAGCTACAAAACAAAAATCGAATAAGCGTATACTTCTCGAGATCTGTGCCGGATCTTTGGATGCCCTTACGAAGGCTAGTAAAGATATTTGTTTCAGCATGCCACGGCAGCAGGAAAGTCTAAGCAAGTGTCTTTCTTGGGGGGCAGAAACCTGCAAATTTTGGGGAGTTTCTGGAGGGACAATAAAGAAGTAGGCCATGATTTGACATTTAAAAGAAGATAATTGTTTTCCGTGCCAAAGCCTTAAACGCCCTTAGTATGGCGAATGCACACACAATATATTGCATAAAGAAAAAAATACTATATGTCATCTACAGCGCAAAGTATTCATTGTAGTTGTTGAAGTTGCCGTATTAGTTTTCATAGTAAAATTAATTTTTTGTTCATTAACTAACCGACGCGAACATTAAATGATGTATGTATGTATATATGTACACTAAGGTGCATAATTCTCCATAAAAAAACGGTAAATAACGTTAATCGGTAACAGTACTGTCTTTCCATCGGAATTATAGAAAATGTTTCAAAATATTTCTGACAAATATTGAAAGTTACGCGAGCTGTACTGATTTGAAAATACCTCCAAAAATTTTATTATTTTGATGCCGTTGATAATATGTTGAAATATTTTGATGCAGGCATTTTAAACTTAAACTATATCTTCTCTCATCTGGGGTGATTAAAACAATTTTTTTTTTAACTAATTTTATGATAAATACTCGATTTTTGAAGGTCTTTTCAAATCGGTTGATGTTTTTCAAATGCTAATTTTTTTCCGGTGTGACACCCTAATGCACACATATGTGCATATGAAGCAATGCAAATCAGTTTTTGTCAAAAGTTTGTTGATTAGCATTTTTTCTAAATTAATCACTGAGCGTTTTGAAATATTTGATTCGTTTAAAATTTTGTTGCCATTGTACAAGCAACACCCTAATTATACAAATATTGTATAAACGCAAAAGGTTTGATAAATTAATTAATCGCTCAATTAATTGCACATACAAAAACCCTCAAATCTTGCTTTTAAGAGGTTCTTGTATTTCTTTAATCGCAATTACGGATTTTTCACTTTTATAAGTATGTTGCGATGATTGTTTTGCGATTTACGCTTTAACGGTTCAAAATTGTATAAATTTTGGTTTATGAAATCATAATTGGAGATAAATTAGACATAGTTTACGATGGATAATCAACTGAGATTAGTATTTTTTTATAGCGAAAATTATCAATAGCAATGAAATTGATGGCTTGTTAATAGGAAAGTGTGTAACTTGAGATTAGCAGGTAACTTCGAGCTTATAGATCCTTAGAAAAAGATTATAGACTACATAAAGTAAAATAACACAAGTCGCGATTTATTAAACTGAGCATTCTAAATGGAAGAGAAACGCCTGCATGCTCCACGTAAATACTAACTTTTATACAGCCTTACAGACACGGATTAAAAAACTCGTGGCCTGAAGGACCTATTCATCTTATTGACAAAACACCCACCCTTACCGGAGGAGGCCATTTGTGGCCCATGATCACGCTCACTCAGTTTACCCGACGACAACTCTTCAAGACTGCCTTGATAGCTTATAGTTGATGCTGCTCTGATATCACTGTGGCCTAAAACCAATAGAAACTTCATAGGAAAGTATCATTAACCCTATATAGAGCCGGAGACTACACATCAGTTGTATGCGAACACAGGTGGAAGCGTAGATTTATGCTACCGTTTGCATACTTTCCATACGACGAGGAGCATCTATTACTTCAGTAGTCCGTCAACTGGTAGAAACAGGATCTTGTAATGGGCTACGACGCAAATGGGAATGGGGTCTCCATTATAGATCTCTAGTCTGCTGGAAAGCGCTGAATGCAAGTAGCTGTCAAGGAGTATTCTGAAAAGTATTGAAATTCGCCTGTTGTATATTACCGGACACTGTACCTCAATAAATGCATAGTACCTCAAGAAATGCTGGACATCATCTGTCCCTCAAAGCCTGCGTATCTAACGCATAAAAAGCATCATTATACAATCAAAACTATGGAAGTAATTCGACCGTGAGCGCGCAGAAACTTGATGAGCTTATACAATTTTCAACTGAAAGGAAAGAAGGACAGGCAAGCTGTGGTAAGAGTAGAATTATCGCTCGTCGCTAGCATCATTTAGTCACGTCAAAGTCTCGATGTGTTGCCGGGCACGACAATATTGAAAGTCGTTACCTATAGTCGATGAGATGGTAACACACGGCATGGTAACTCAAATCGGTGAGTTCAAATACCGAAAATTTATTATCTACTGAGGATTATACCACAATAGTAAAACATAATCTGTGGTCTGAACGTCTGTAAGGTAACAAGATCTTACTTACCTTTTCAGTGGTAACACGAAACTGGTGAGTTCAACACGTTAGGGGTGTTAACTAAGTCTTGAAATATCCTTACATGCTGCCCAGATTGCACCGTAGAGACGGGTTTCCTTTGAGAAAACTTTGCAAAACGTGAAATTTGCAGACCGTGCAAGGATTTTGAAAGACTTATTGAATACTTTTATTATAAAAGGAAGGATTTTTGCGGTGAAAAGTGATGTTTCCCTAAAAATCTTCAGCTGCGTTCGTTTAAGCCATACCAAATTAATGTAAGAAGTTACCCACAGCTCTGAAAATTAGTCTTCCAAACACAGTAGAAGAAAACAGAAACAGGCTTATCCTGATTTTAGCCCGAAAAAAAAATTTACCAGACAATTTTTCATCCGCCCATAGTAAATACACGGCAACACAAAGTGAAGAGTGAACCGGTTCGGGGAAAATCAAACTCATGATAAGGCTGAACGTGATGCATGGCTTTTTCATCTCTACAACCCCTACAGAATTTTAAATTATTTCTCCAATATTCCTTTGATTCATTGTGTTAGATACCCGCATCAAATTAATGTAAAGTCTAACAGGTCAATTCCAGGACAATGGTTGAGAGCTGCGTAACCTCTTCTCTTTGAGAGATTCATAGTTATTTATTCATATGTGGATATGAAGAGAGAAATCTCTTCTTATCTTAGAGCTAGTTTTCAGTCATTTCCAGCAGCGAATTACACATCAATCTGCGAGATCTCTCAGAAGAGTAATGATCTTCGTCACTCAATCGTAGCCGGTGGAACGGCCATATACTTACAGTACTCTTTAAAGGTAGTCATGAATGCTCAGTAGGGTGGACCAAAGAAAGTAAAGTCTCAATTTTATTGCTTTCACACCTAGGATTTTTCTATATAGGAAAACTATATCCGTTTTTTAAATAAAAAAATATTTTGAGGTCGCTCAAAGCAAGCAAAGTGTCCCATGTAGTTTATATGAAAAAAAACATTTCTTCATAGCAATAGTATAGAATCTAGAATAGTAGAAAATCTATATTAGTCAATCCGCTAGCTCTGTTTCTCTTCAAAGGACTTCAAGTACAACAACCCAATTGTTTATTTTACCATTTTTAATATGAACTATTTTTTATAGGTCCCCCAAAAAATATCATTAATATTCAAAAGTTGTTTATACGAAAAATGGCATTTTCCCCCATATAAAGTGCATGGGACCTTTGAGCGATTTATTAGTAAATATTTTCAAATGTCCCAGGTGGTGAGTGGTGAGAGCATTAAAATTCCGACTTTACTTCTCTCACATGCGTTTTTCGGGACATCCTATTCCCAGGCATTAATACCGTTAAGTTACGAAGTATTAATATTTTTAACTTAGCTGTGTTTTTTTAATTTATTTCAAAAGAACTAAAACTAGTTAACAAAACAACAAGAGATAGCTGCATAACAATTCCCTAAGCAACAGGAATATGAGCACCCTGCGGTTGGAAACCATTTTTGTCAGCAATGTAATCCACACGGTAAGTCTGACCATCATCGCCGATGTAAGAGTAGAAGCCACGCACTGCGATAGCCTCATCATCAGTGCCCAAATCTTGTACGATACCCTGCTCTTGGGCAGCTTTTCCATCGCTGGTCTCAACACTTTAAAAAGGCAAAGAAAAAGAAGTGCATACAATTACTTAGTTTTCGAATGGAAATAGGTCGAAGGTTGGACTTTTTAAAGTTTTTTTTTTCAAATCCGCTTACTTGTATTGGTAGTTCAATGGTTCAACCTGTACGTCGTAACGTAAAGTCTCTGCATCCCTTTGTGGTGCGGCCAAGGCAACAGCGAACAGAGCGAAAAACACAACAGCGTATTTCATTTTTTTAATTTATGTTTTATATTTTATGCTATCTTTGGTAAAACGAAGCGTGTTCGAACGCTTTGAACGATGATGAGTTTGTGAATGAATGCCAATCGAATGAAGTGTGACAGTTTTATAGTGATTTGCAAGATTGAATGTAACTGTGTTTAAAATGCAAATACAATTTAGTTAAAGTAGGTGTTGGTAGCAACAAAATGCATAGCTACATACACAGTTATTTGTATCATGCAAACTAGTATTATAAACTGCTTCAAGTGTGTGTCAGGAGTGTGTATGCCACCAATAGGGCTGCAACAGATTTCGGATTAAATATATGTATGTGTGTATGTATGCATACATTTCTATTTAATGTTAAAGACAAGCGCGCTCGTGCGCTGAGAAACAACTTGCATTTTGATTAGTTAGCCCCTTTTTTGCTTTTCGAGTTGAATTATTTAAAATTAAGCTGGGTGCCTAAAGCGCAAAAAAAAATAAAAATATATTTTTATCACAAAAAAAAGTATCTAACAGTTCATGCCGATTTGTAGTTTCGTAGATGTAAATGAATGCCGGAATTTTGCCAACAACTAAGACTAAACTAACTTTGAACTACAACTTTTAAACCAGTTTTTTTTGGAAGTAAAATCATACAGCTAGAGACCGTAAGCGGCTGAGCTCAAAAGGCTAGCTAGTGGATGAGTACTTGAAACACTATCCAAGGAATGCGGACGATGAACAGCTAGGCGAAAATACATAATTCCTTAGAGATATATCCTGACATGGTGCTATCCGGTGTGTCTAAATATCAACCATACCAAAAGAGCACTCAAACCTTTCCTAGACACTCGCCATATAAATCAGAGAACAGTAGAGATAAAAAAGTAAACTGAAGCGAAATACCTTGGAGTTATCTTTGACTCTTAAATATCGTAGAGAAGTTACGTAGATTAGGATGTTGCAAAGAGAGCACTGGTCGGCAAATGGCGGGGCTGCATCCGCATATCCTGAGGTAGATGGACCCGGGAAATTTTTCGTTTAGTGACATTGCGCGAGAGGTCGCCTTCAAAACAGTGACAAAAAGGCTACACACTCTGGGATAATACAACTCAGAAGGTATAGATGATGTGGACCCCAGGATTTGAAGGCACACGGTGGTACTAGTAAGCTGAGAGACTTGAAAATGAGGAAGCAGCTATCCAAGCAATAAGACCGCAACCCTTCCTTGGCATGGGTCTCTTAATAAACTACTTATATATACATATATGATGGAAGGGTTAAGGCTGGAGGAGCGTCTGATTAGAAGACCCAATGGGGGCACATTATGGAAGCTAGGCGAAAGACAAGCGATCTGCGAGCTCAAATGAACACCCTAGCAATTAGCTCACATGACTCTTTTCGATACTGTGATACGGCGGCAGAAACCGCACTGCATGTCTTTCTAGAAAGCGTCGCGGTTGCTGGAAGAAGTTGCGCACTTATTGGCAGGGACCGACAACGTGTTCTAATTTTGGTTTAGTACTGCACGAGAACAAAATGTGATGTAAAGAATGTTACCACAAAAGAGCCGAACAGAAACAAAACTGTCGGGAACGTTCTCGAAAAGAACAAAATGCTAACAAAACTGTCGGGAACGTTATCAAAAAGAACAGAATGAGAACGAAATTTTCTCGAACGTTTCCAATGAGAACAAAATAAGAACGAAAGTTTCGAGAACGTTTTAAAGAAGGATCGAATAAGAAAAAAAGTCTGGTCAACGTTTTGCTAGAGAACATAGCGAGAACAAAAGTTTTGAGAACGTTATGTTAAGAATGAGAGGGGCATTAGTGTGTTGGGATGAAAAATCGTTTCAGTGAGAAATACGCTTGTTAACCTTGCTAAGTCTGAGGAAAGCTGGATCATTTCAATTTCCAGATCGCTTATGATTAAGGTGAACTGTTCATATATGGAACAATTTTTCATTTTGTATGCAAGAAAAGCTCGTGTCGTATGACATTATTTACATAATAATGTCTCAGTTATTTTTTTGATAAATTTTCAAACTAATGGTAAGCTTTAAGAAAAATTTTGTTCTCGATTCCTTTCTTCGCGAATAGTTCAGAGAAGATTTTTTTCCCGTTTCGTTCTCTGTCCGAAAGTTTCTGAGAATCTAGCTCCCAAATTGTTCTTCGAGAGAAAGTTCCTTATACTCTTGTTCCCATTTTTTTCTCTTAGAAATGTTTTCGAAAGTATTGCTCGCATTTTGTTCGATTTTTGAACGTTTCACAGGGGTTTGTTCTTACATAATTCCCATTGAGAACGTACTTGACAGTTTTGTTTTCATTTTGGGTATTGGTTTTGAAGTGTTCTTGGGAACAAAACTACGAGAACGACATTTAATTGTAATCATACCTTTTGTTCTCGGTCCCTGCTTTTTGGTCCTCTCTTTTACAGAGATAAATAAAAGTCAGAACAGGAAATATTTCAGTGCTTACTTTCGAAGAGCTGAAGGATCTACTCTCATTTCTGTTGAGACGGCAAGAAACTTTACCCGTTTTACTCAGTTTTTGCTTATCGAAAAAAAATTGTGTGCTGCTGATTTGAAGACGGAATCTTCGCTACATACTTATGTATGTATAATCTGGCATATCGTTTCTTCAAGAGAGAAATACAAAAATTTCATTGTTTGTGTCATTAAGCCGGCATGTATTTCCATTTTGGCTTCGCATGCAATTTATCATCCATCCAATAGGGGTATCCCACATAACTTCCGATTAATTTATTGCATACGTTTTAACAACACACACATTGGCTATACGCACGCACATTTTCGTTTACATGTGTAAATAGATTTAAACATATATATACATATTTAAATAACCTTTGTAATTTGCGAATTTCTTGTTCGAACTGCCCTCAGTTGGCTTCTTTGAAGCATCGCCGGCAATCGGCATTGTATGTTGTATAGTCTATGAAGTTGGAGTAGGTCACTGATCGTTGGTTACGAAAACGTTTTGGTTATTGAAAAAAAAAACCAAAACAAAAACCAAAAACGAGCGCATCAGAAACGTGTTCCCAAAAGTGAGCGCGTCACCTTTAACCGCGACCAATTAACGCATTGCAACATTCGGCATTCGGGGCTAACTGCCTGCATTGGAACGCCTCAAAAGCTGTTCACCGGTTAAAGCAACGACAAAGTTCGTCGCTATCGAAAGACAAAAGTTAAGTAAAACTAAGTCAAAAGCGCCCAAAAATTGTTGCACTACTGCTAAAGTTATTCCAAAACCAGAAACCAAAAAACCAAGAAACATAAGATTTAAAAGAAAGAAGAAAAATAAAACTAAAAAAAAAAATAAAAGATTATGCGTGTCGTTTGTCTGTTATAAATACTCAGTCAGATCATCAAATTGTCATCATTAGCTTCTCAGCAGTCAACAGCGTTTCAGCCGACATTTCAAAATCGCTCCAAAAATTACAAGTCCTTTTGTCAAAATGAAATTCGTCATTGTTTTTGTTGCTCTCTTCGCCGTTGCCATGGCTGGCAATTTGGATCGTGAAGCTCACATTGTGCATCTAGACTCCAATGTAGAACCTCTGAGCTATCAATACGCGTAAGTAGTAATTTATGATTCGATTGCTGCTGAGTGTAGTAATCTGTAATAATTATTGATAACAAATTTAAAATTACGCTTTGCAGACAAGAAACCAGCAACGGCATCAAAAGCCAAGAATCCGGACAGGTGCGCAACTTGGGCACTGAACAAGAAGCCATCGCAGTTCAAGGTTCTTACTCCTACGTCGGTGATGATGGCATAACCTACACTGTCAACTATATCGCCGATGAGAACGGTTTCCAGCCACAGGGTGCTCACATTCCAGTTGCTTGAACGGCGGTTTCATGAATATGAAGCTGAAACGTTGTTGCCTAGTTGTAGATAGTTGAAAAAAAATTAAATAAAAAGAATTTATATTTAAAACAAGTTCCTTTTTTTTATAAATCAGTATACAATAGGGTTAATGTGCCACTCAAATAATCAGGCTGCTTTGATATTTCAAAGCTTTGAATTAAAAGTTTAAAATCACCAGAACTCACCAAGAATTTATAAGCCGATGGAGTGAACCTTCGTATGAGTTCGAGAAGAGTAGAAAATATGTATATTACAGCATCAAAAGTAAAGCCTTTTCAAACACATTTCGATTGATACCTATCTTTTGATAATTCATCTTTTTTAAAAAACTGGTAACTCTTTTACAACATTATAAATGTTGCCCGTAATTCACACCCGTATTTTAATATTTCGTATAATTTGTATATAAGTTAATCAAATTCAATTTTTCAAACAGGCGGCAATCCTCGTAAAAAGTATTTTCAAGCTAAAATATTCCTAAATTTCTTTCGCCTAACATGGTGATGAATAAGTTATTTTAGCATCCTTATTTCTAATAAATTTCGTTTAAGTTAATTAAATTCGACTTTTAAAAACAGGTGGCAGCCCTCTTCAGACGTAGTTTCAGGCTATAATCTTCTTGAATTACCCTCGTCTGACATTGTGGTACATATTTTAATTAACTGATGAATTAAATTTAATTTGATTTTTTAAACATGTGGCAACCCTCTAAATATATTTCAGAAACAAAGCCTTTGGATTGATACCAATATTTTAATAATTTAATTAGCTTATTAAATAATTTAAATTTTAACTGTAAACAGTTGGCATCCCTCTGTAAACACCTCAAAAATATTGTTAGTATCGAAACTAAAGATTTCTTAACACTCTTTTGTTTGACATGTTTTGTTGTGTATAAGTTAACTGAAATCGACTTTTGAAACAGGTGGCAACCCTCTTCAAAATATTTTTAAACTATTGTCTTCTTAAAAAACTGTTCGCCTAGCACTCAAATGGTGATAAATATGTATGTCCGTTACCTAATTCCCTTAATTTAAATTTAATTTAATTTTTAAACAGGTGGCACCCCTCCTGTGAAATTAAGAGGCAAAGCTTTCAAACCCATTTCGATCGATACTCATTTGGTAATAATTGGTTTAACTTTCTAAATAATTTCAACTTAATTTTTTAAAAGGTGGCAACTCCTTTCAAAAAATAAAACCGACCGTATGATAACCGACCTTTTCTGTACTGAGATTGAATATTAAAAAAAAACGTGGCTCAAAGCGAGAAGAAATATGATTTTTTTTCATATCCTAGAAGCGCGAATCGTATTATTTATATAAAACTATAACTTCGGAGCATTTTAAATCCAATATTTTTCAACCTATGAAAGGGGTGCTGCCTAATATTGTGTGCCAAAAAATGTTATAGAAAACTATCACAATACCATAAGCTCTTGCAAATATTACCGAATCTGGGCTGATCTGCACGGTTCTGTCTGTGTCTAAAGCTTCCAGAGTTCATGCTTTTGGAAGTACTAAAGCCGATGAACGATCGATTGCCACTACACCACAGACTTAGCCAGTCTTACCTTGATTCGATCTTTTCGCGGCTGAGTTTTTTGCTTATCATTGTCGCCTGAGGCAAGCATCACTATTGAAAATGAAAGTGGGGTAAAAGTAAAAGTAGAAAAATTTGTAATGAAAATGTACATCTATACTTACTCATGAAGTTATCATACGACTATGTAGTTTCAACATACGGAACCCGGGTTTGTTGGCTTCGTGTCGAAGACATCTAACGGGATAAAAGGAGTTAATCCTCCTTAGAGCGGCCTGCGACAAGTGCAGGCATAACGAGGGCACTAAAATACTGCCCGTCGGAAACACCAAACGTTATCCTCAACCTGATGCCTATTGATCATTACCAAAAAAGGGGACTTGAAATTAGTAGTCAGGCTTAGGGCGCTGTGGTAAACAAGACAATTCGTCTCCGTTTTGACCATTATCTAGTTGTAATTGGAAAATAATACAGACTACGTGGTAAGGTAACCCAGCTTTGACTTCAGCAGCAACGTAAAAGTGCGATTCTTATACAGAAAAGAATGCAGAAGAGACCTAGTGACTGATAGAAATGCTATTTCTATTTACACTAACGGATCCTATATAGAGGG